GATTAGATTGATTGTTTAGTTTAGATTGATTTTCTTGGTTGATCGAGTGATTGATTGTGTTTTGTAATTTTTTTTTTCAGGTCTCGACGACAGCTGGCGGTGCGTGGGCGAAGACGGCGACACACACGACCACCCACCATCGGCCACCGCGGACGCGGCCACAAACAAGGCCGCGCAGATCGGTCCACGGACGCATACAAGGCCGCGCGGAGTTGTCGACGTCCACGCGGGGTTGAAGTTGGCCGAGGCCCACGCGGAGAAGCGTCTGGGCCTGCTGCGAAGGCGTGACACGTCGGAGTCCTCGGGAGCGGTTCCCGGGACTCGTTGGGGTTGCCGGAGGAGGGGGGGGGGTTGGTTGGTAATTCAGTTTCCAGGGGTTTAGCCCGTTGTCGTCTAAAATGACGTGGGGTGCGGGCGGTTCTGGAGACGGCGATTTCGTTCCAGCGACCGACGTGCAGATGGATGAGCTGCGCAGGAAGTCGAGAGTGTGGCGTCATGTGATGCAGGGTCAGAGGATGGGGACGTGGCAGAAGAGGCACGGGAACTACAAGCTCCGCTGCAATTATTGCAAGCATGTGTGGCAGGGCACTTTGTTCAAGGCGCAGCGGCACTTCACGCAACTGAAGAGGTGTGCGGCGACAACGATGGACGTGTTTGTGGACATTTGGAACCACACAGAGTACGAGTTCGATGAGCGTCATCACCGCGGTATCATGGCGTACATGAGGGAGCATAATATCGCGGATAGACGAGCCGTGGACGTCCATCAGGGCAGTGGCAGGGGCCGCACGGGTGGGACACAGTCACGACCACGGGAGCGTGATGCTGTGGAGGAGGTGGAGGAGTTCCTTGCCGAGGAGGCGAGGCGAGCAGAGGCCCGGGGCGGTGAGGAGGGTGGAGGGGCAGGCCCGGCACGCGATTTGCCGGGAGAGAATGTGGTTATGACTGCGCGAGGAAAGATGCAGGTGGAGAGTGGAGTTGAGGGCGTGCCACAGGGGGCGCAAGAGACAGCGGCAGTCAAGACTGGACAAGGTGTACGATTCGGATGGGCAGGCCGGATTCAGGGACACTTTTTTGCAGTGGGCCTACGATGTCGGTATTCCGTTCGCTGCATTCAAGAGGCAGTCATGGCTTCGGCACAAAAAGCAGTTGGCCTCCATGGCTCGCGGAGTGCGGCCAGTTTATCCGTCCTTCAAGGACATTGGGGGCGCTGGTATTGATGAGCAGCGAGGGAAGGTTGCCGCGATGTTGAGGGAGGTCCGTAGTTCGTTTGAGTCGATAGGGGCCACCATTTTGTCGGACGGTAGGCAGTCGCGAGACGCTAGGCCTATAGTCAACTTCCTCGCAGCCGCCAAGCGCGGTGCCCTCTTATACGCCACCGTCCAGCGAGACGGTTCAGTGTCCGAGACGGCACATATCGTCCTGAAGAGGTGGAAGGCCATTTTTCGGTCTTTCCCTCCGAAGGACGTGTTGGCCATTTGCACGGACTCTGCGTCAAACTACACGTCGGCCGCAAAGCTCCTTGCGAAGGACTCTGATCCGGACATTCGCCGTATCACTTGGCTCCTGTGTGCCACCCACGTGGCCAACTTGATGTTGTCTGACATCGGGACACGGGTTCCTTGGGTTACAGACACCATTTTCAGGGCTCGTGCGTTGGTGCGATTCATTAAATCGCACGGCGCGGCTTATCACCTGTTCAGGGTGAAAAGTCGTCGCCGCACACTTGTACACCCAGTGGAGACGCGATTCGCGTCTGTTTTTTTTATGTTTGTGTGTTTGCTGGCGAGGCGTAATGCCTTGGAGAGCATGCTTCATGATGACGAGTGAGACAAGATTTCATGGGAGTCGTCGAAGCGTAGACAGGCTCTGTGGGTTCGACAGCTCATCCGCTGCGCCGATTTCTGGCGCAACGTTCACCACGCTGTTGCAGTCATGACCCTTGTCCACCAGCTGTTGAGGAGATTGGACAGGGGCGGCATGATCATGTCCACGATGTACTCATGGTCACAGGAGTTGGTACGGCAGGTGGCTGCTGCTGACGTCCCTGATGACATGCGGGGGCCTTGCGTGGAGGCGGTGCAGATCCGCACTATGCATATGCTTGAGCCTGCGCACGCTGCGGCGGACCTGCTCAACCCCCGCAGACGCTCTCTCCGTTACTACGAGTCCGCCCGCAGGACAGCTGCGGACCTCGAGGTCGTCACCCAGTGCGACTCGTTTTTGTTGGCGCAGACAGGCGGTGATCGTGCGGGGGATGCATACTTGCGGGTGCGTGAGCAGATGCGATCCTTCCACTCCAGGGGCGGCCACCACACAGAGAGGGTGACGAGGGACGCCGAGGCGGAGGCCTGTGTAGGGGACGAGGAGACAAGCAGGTGCGCGTCATGGTGGGTGGAGCACGGCGCATGCTTCCCGGACTTGCAGGAGATTGCTGGCCGTGTGATGCACATGTGGACGTCCGCCTCTCCTGCTGAGAGGAATTGGGCAGAGCATGAGCGCATCCACACGGCCAAGCGCAACAAGCTCGAGTTCAGGAAGGTTGCGCAGTTAGTTGAGATTGCTACAAATCTCAAACTACTTGGATGCAGCGAGCGGAGTGGGGGTACGTTCTTCGCGACCCTGGCCGAGGCGCAGCCAGAGGAGTATACACACCCGGTAGTCGCAGATGAGGATGAGGAGGAGGAGCCTGAGCCAGAGGAGTGGGGAGCTAGACCTCAGACAACAGTGCCGGCACACGAGATCGTTGCACAGGTTCGTCGCTTCCAGCAGCAGGGTGCTCGTCGGCCAGTGGGGGTTGCCGAGGTTTTCGGTGCCAGAGCCGAGATACTCCATCCTTATGACTACGTGCCTCCACCGCCAGCAGAGCCAGTGCAGGCGTCGGAGGAGCAGACGGACACGGAGGTCGGAGAGGATTTGCCACCTGGTGTAGATAAGAGTGCAGAGAGACTCTACTACACATACGGAGGAGGAGCCGATGGATTCCTGTCACGCTGCACATTCATTCGGGAGAGCGACGACGATCCCATCCCCGTCACTGATATAGGGTTGGATGGTGGACAGCGAGACGAGGACGACGCGGACGACGACGACGACGACGACGAGCCGTTACTGCTTCGCAGAGCACGGTTGGCGCAGCAGGGAGCCGCGCGGCCCGCGCCTGCCGCCGAGGGTCTCAGGAGATCGGCGAGGCTCCAGCAGACCCAGGCGGGATCGACTTCAAGTGGTAGACGCGAGGCGTCGGACCACCTAGACGACATCAGAGATGAGGAGCATTTGCCGAGCCAGCATACGCCCGCCTCCGCACCTCGAGGCGACAGTCAACAGAGGGAGCTGCGCACGAGTGACTTTCAGGGCCTTGGACCAGGATTTGCGGGCAGCGGTGTTCGAGGGCGGATTGATGGGCGAGAGAGAGTGGGGGATGAGGCCAAGTACCATTCTGTGCAGGGTGGTGGTCCAGAGTCCGTGGAGGAGCTCCATGCTCCGATGGATCGAGAGGAGGAGCAGCGGCTCTAGCAGTTGCAGAGAGAGTGGGTGGGCAGAGATAAGTACATGGCGGAGCAGCAGCGTGCTAGAAACTTGGAGACGGGTACTGTAGTCCGTGATGTGGGTGGGGTAGAGCATAGCGTTCGTACAGTCCCGCACGCGTTTCCAGCCGACGCAGCGATACCCGATACCGCAGTGCCCGAGACGTCGCCCTAGGGAGATGTGGACTCCGGGTCTGCCGTGGGAGGAGAGTTAGGTGCGTCTGAGTATGGCGATCCGACCGTGTCCGACGTCATAGTTGGGTTGTGT